GCCCGCCTTAGTAATCAGTGACCAGGCATAAGTAGTACGAGCCCAAGCCAAGGCAACTTTTGCAGTGCTATCTGCCGTTCTAAGGAACTATCCTAATTAGCACGGCCTAGTATTAGTTTACGCATATCATCGTTGTGGGCACGCTGGAGCCATCTGATACCAAGAATTCTTCGCAGATTTGTAGCCGCTGCAGGTCGTCAGATCGAAGGGGCCAAGTCTCGCTACTATAAAGTAGGACGGCCTCACTGTAACATTGTATACACGGTCTTTTAGACGGAGAAAAACCTCTTTCTGACACCACAGATGCAAAAGACAGTTTGGATTTTGCGATATGTGAAGTGACTTTTGTTACTATGCGACCATCACTGCTGATACAACTGCCAAGGTAGGTGAAGTGATCAACTACCTCGAGTTAGTCACCATCAAAGGGTCATCGAGTGACTGGTAGTAATGTAACAGCGTTTTGAAGGTGAGAAGTGCATGCCAAATGATGGGACCACTATTGATAAGTTATTCAGAGCTGATTGTGCCGCCCATCATCATCACCATTATACATGTTAGCTAGAGGTGGAAAAAATTTCAGTTATTGTGCCGCAATACATTATAAAAAGTGCAATGGCACGCCGGCTGAGCCCCAAGTAATGGATAGACATTGTTTTTGGACAGGAAACAGCCGACTATTGTGCAGCGAAAAGAAAATTTTATATTAAGCATATGAATTGAGGTCGTGGTTACAGGAAGAGGCAAAGCGGGAGGGGAAAGGACTAAGAAACTCACAGCACGAAGACCACTGAGATCGGCATCTAGCCATATCAACAAGTGTATCGATTGTACCGCCCCAACATGGTTAAAAAGCAGGACAATATCGTCAGCACAAGCAAGATTAAGTAGCTTTACAATAGACAGTACTTAAACGCCTGCATTGTAAGGCTCCGCAAGGGAACACTCCATGATGAAGTCCACGACAAAGTTGAACAAAAACGCGGAAATTGGGCAACTCTGACGAACGCTACTTGTTGTCGGAAAGGCACCAGACAAATCACTGTGGACCCTGACGCGGCCTGTCATGTACAAGTATATGGCATGTAAAATGTTCATATATTTTATGAGAACACCATTCCGCGCAAGTACTTCACACAGAATGCATCGATCGGTTGAGTCAAACGCACCCTTGAAATCGAGGAACACAACTATTGCTGCGGTAATTGCCTACCGCTCCTGCTTCCTCCATTCTTTGAGCCCGACTGGTCCACCAGGCTTTCTTATCAGCGCGTAGGCACCTCTTTAATTCGCGCCTAATATTCCGTCGGGCCACCATGTGCCCAGAGCCAGCTGGGAGTTTTCTTCTGGATTCCAACAGGTTCACAGATCTCTCGGATATTCAGTGACTGGTGCATTGACGAATTATGGTGCCGCAAGCGGAAATTCCTGCATGTTGCATGGTGACCGAGATACCAACCCACTGAACCTCTGTGTCATTAGGGCGAGAGAGCTATAGTTCGGTACGCAGGACATCCTGGTAGGCTTGCCCTACCGAGCGCTGAGATAACTTCTCATTTGCAACCGGTGTCCCGAGCACAATTGCAACAGGCGCTCGCCGCTGTCCGTCCGTTCGGAGTTAAGTTACCACTTAGCTTGGCTCCAGAAGAGCCCAGATGACTTATCTCCGCATTTACATCCCAGCAACATCAACTTATAAACGGAAACTGCAAACAAACAGCGGCTTGTACTACATCGCGAAGTAACCTTAGTTGATGTCGTCAGACAGACTGCACACAAACGGGTATTCACGGGAATCTAATCAACCAACAATAACTCGGCCTTGGAGCCGAGAATGATGCCCACTCCAGCCTGAAGAGCGTCTCCGGATACGTGCAGCCAATAGCGAGATGACAAACCGGGCGCAGTTAATTCAACAATATTGTGAACGTCACTGATACTAGTTTCTGACACACAACACATGTCAATACGCAGGGTGTCCAACGTGCGCGCGAGTGCAGTCCGTTGAGTTATTTGCTTTAGTGTGCGAATGTTGAACACCGCCAGGGAAAAGGGACATTGTGATCTTATAAGGGACTGTTGCCGATGGGCGTCCATTGGTTGGTGCAGGAGGGTAGCTGAAGTTGGCATGACTCAAATGGTATTCCGGTTGCTGTCAAATAAACTGGGAATTATAGGAGGAAGGCTAATAAAGAGGTTGGGGAGGGGAGTAAAAGAAACGGGTGGAAAGGATAGTAGGGAGGCGCCTGCAGTAGCATGTTTTCGTTTATCCACCCTCCTGTATGCAGCAGATAAGGCTACCCTTGATAAGCTGTGCGACGACCGATGCAGGATGTGGCTGAAGGCTGAGGAAGTGTTCATGGTTATACGGGAGCTGAGATACTGCCAGGGCGCCAGGGAGGACGATTAGGGTATTCAACCAAAGCCGTTGGCTCAAACGACTATTCGCAAAGCAGCGGGGAGGTGGCAATGATTTGGCTTTACCTAAATGGACACCATCCTATTTCTAACCCACAATTTAGAAAACAAGGAGACAGTGTGCTTCATCTCGCACCATTGATCAACTTGGTAGCAGTAGATTTTAAGAGACCCGGGGGTAGCACATAGTAAAGCTCAATGGGTCGAAGAGGTACGTATGCACCACATGAAGGTCCAGTCTCGCTACGGCGAGGTATGGCACTCTTTGCGAACACCTTCAGTGCTCGCGACTGCAGAGATAAGTAGAGTGTGGCGTCAGGTCCGCACCAATTTATTCTTCCTTCTAAACGTTTTGATCCAAATGACCAGGAAGTACTCAGTCTCAGGTGACTTATTGTTAAGCCTAGAGTATGCAGGTGACGTAGTTTATTCTGAGTCGGACCTAACTTATGTGCAAGGAATGTGTGCTTCGATATGGGCTTTGTACCGTTAAGGTAACAAGAATGCCTGCATCCTAGTTCGCAAGTCGCAGCCGATACACAAAACCGGATATACAACAAATGACTTGGTATGCTGGCCTGTTAATTCGATCAAGAGTGATGTCATACAGCTGCCAGCGAATAGTAGGTACAGTATTGGCCAAATTATTAGAATTTTTTTTCAATCAGCAACTTTTTTCATCTTTCATCACATATCTCGTAAGAATCAAATGATGTAACTGTAAAATGGTTATATTTACCAAGAATAACATATATCGAATAGAAAATCATCAAGGTTTGTATTTCGTAAATGATACTTTGGCAATTTTCAAGGAGTTAACACGCAAAGGCATAGTATGTGAGATTTTTTGTAAATGATGACAAATTGGTTGATGTGACGTGTACAGTAGTTATGTAAACGGACGGTTACATTTTTATCATACTTCGTTATTTACAGCTGTAGTCTACATTTCAGGATTACATTTGTCTGGTTTTGGATCAATTTATAGGTATGTTTAATTACTTTTATTGTTATTTTTCAAGGTGTCTTCTCAAGTAACGACACAACCGTATTGATCGCCAGTTTTTAGATGGTGTTGGCATATTAATGGGTAAATTACGTGACCTAACCCCTCGAAAGCGTGCACAAATTGAAATTTTGTTGAAAGAAGATGTTAAAGGAGCAGAAATTGCAACCAAGATTGGTGTCAGCCCAGCGTCTGTATGTCGACTTCGAAAGAAATTGCAAAAGAATTTACCCCTGTCCCCTAAACGTTCCGGTAAATGTGGTCGCAGAAGAGAAACAACAGCTCGAGACGACTCACTTCTACTAAGGGAATGCCTAAAGAATCGCAAAGCATCTAGCAGACAGCTACAAGGGATGTTGGAACAGCATGGTGTTGCAGTTAGTTCGAGAACTGTAAGAAGACGACTTTTGGATTCTGGACTTCGAGCTTGCAGGCCTCTGAAGAAGCAAAAGTTGACCAAACAAATGAAAGAAAAACGACAGGAATGGGCCAAACAGCTTCAAAAATGGTCCAAAGAAGACTGGGAGCGGGTAAGAAGCGGAAGTTTTATTTTCATAAGGATTTTCCAGAAAAATTGTGTCTACATTACTTTTGCTGTGTTTTCTGCGTTTTTCTGTGTTTCATTTTAGGTGGTTTTCAGCGATGAGTGCATCATCCGGTGCTCTGACCAGCAATCTCTATATGTCCGCCGATTACCTGGCGAACAGATGAGGGAAGACTGCATCATTCAACGAGTCAAACATCCCACTCAGGTCATGATATGGAGCTCTATGAGCATCTACGGAACTGGTCGGCTCTCCATCGTCCAGGGTAACATGAACCAGCAGCAGTACAAAGAACTACTGGAGCACCAACTGATCCCTCAGCTGTGTGAATGGTCAAAGGAAAAAGGATTTACAGGGACAGGAGACTTCATTTTCATGCATGACAGTGCTCCATGTCACAAGGGGCGTGAAGTCACCCGTTTTCTTGAGGGTTGTGGTATAGAAGTGTTACCATGGCCTGGTAATAGCCCTGACATGAACCCAATAGAGAATTTATGGGCAATTCTAAAGTCAGAGATGAAGAAAAAAATTATTACAAACAAGCAACTGCTCATTGAACAAATTGTAGCGACCTGGGCTCGCAGTGAAAGCATGACTGAACTTTGCAAAAAACTCATTCACTCCATGCCTTTGCGTGTTAACTCCTTGAAAATTGCCAAAGGATCATTTACGAAATACTAACCTTGATAATTTTCTATTCGATATATGTTATTCTTGGTAAATATAACCATTTTACAGTTACATCATTTGATTCTTACGAGATATGTGATGAAATATGAAAAAATTTGCTGATTGAAAAAATTCTAATAATTTGGCCAATACTGTAAGTGGATATAACTGCCGCCAAATGTAGGGAAAGTAAGAGTGCGGCGAAGCTGAGACTGAAGGATGAAACTAGTTATAAGTGAAAAATGACGTTAAAATTAGAAAACATAAATGCTGCAAAACTAGGTTTTACAAAACGGATGACGTCATCTTGTAAAGCCCAGTAAATTCCGAAAGCACTCACTCACCAATAAAGGCATTCTTACCTTGTAACATCATATACAAGTAACGCGGCCGCTGATCCACGGTAATATGACCGAGTAATTGACCGGAATGATTCTTGCCCGGCCTAAAAACCACGAATTGTAATGTTTACTATTGGCCAAATCGCAATGAGTAGAAGCAAGTACAAAGCATAGGAATCGAAGTATATGTAAGCAAATTAGTACTTTAAAGCATTTTTAATATGTGGTCACTTGAGTACAGATTTAAGGAAGCAACTGGTCCTTCAACAGAACTAAGCGGGCCAGTTGACTGGGTTGCCACAACTATGCTAAGTGGTGGCGTGAGGTATGAAAAGAAAATTCTTCGTGCAGATACACAAGCTTTCATACGAATGAGCTAACAACAAAAGTATCATCATGAAATGTGCAGTAGACAGAGAAGACAAGTAACAACGGCAATACAGGCAAGTAATTGAGTATGAAGTGAGAGCAAAATATCGCACATAAAGTAGGTAAGTGATCTGGTGCGATGAAGAATGAGTGTCCGAGATGATTAAAAAGTACCTCAGAGGGACTCAAATAAGGTGCCGAGTCGATAAGGTAATGGTGTGGAACGGACTAAATTTACCCCATCAGTTAGTCATCGTGACGAGACCGGAGATAAACGTGGTAGGACGGTTTAGGCACTCCTTTTCAATGAGTAAAATTAGATGATACTACTGGGCCATTAGAAAAACAATTCAATCGGCTGCGTTGATGGCAAAAGATCATATAAAACCAGCTGTCTGATCATCGGGTTGGAAATTTGGGTAGTATCTGTTCCTGTACGAAGGGGCATATTCCCACCGCCGTGTAGCTAGGCTTGAGTGAACGACATTATTCAGAACCCGTCGTTCTACCACCTCGGTCTAGCCAAATGGATTGCATCAAAGAGGGAACTTGTTGCCTCACCTGGTTACTTTTTGAAGGAATAGAGCTATAAATGTCACCACAAACTCCAAAGAAGTTGAGAGTGAGTTGGTCTGGGTCTCACTTATTAACTTGACCGGTATGCGTAATTCTGAAGGCACATGGAACACACCACTCAGCCTAGCCCAGGGGGTCACAGAAACAAGCAAATCATTCCCCCACGTCCCGCTTTCTGGCCGTGTGGTCCAGTTTCCACTCGAGAACATGAATTATTAACAAAAAGTTGGCGTGTGATGAAGTCGAATGAATGCAAGTAGAAGCAGTTGAGCCCAGCATGGCAGAAGAGTAAACTGCGGTTTTATCACAGGACGTGATGTTACCCGATGGCCAAAGCCGAAGTAGGGAGCTGACGTAAAGGACATCACCTTGAGTTTTCGGTCAAGTAACTAATCTGTAAACCAGTGCAACAGAGTCAGGGAACCACATCCATTGGGATCCAGTGACCGGCTGCTCAGTTCACAGGTATCTGGTTTGACGAGTAGCTGATCTGCTACATAATATCAGTATACATATTCCGGGATATAAGGATTCTAGGTAGAAATTCATCACATCTAGACTCACTCAGACGTATAAGGATTCAATGGCCTAAAGCAAGGGGCAGTAACACGAATTATTGACGGGTAGCATGTACCACATCGCAGTACTGTGTGTGGAGAACGCTTTCCAGTCGAAACCCGTCACTTTCACAAACACCTTCACAGAAACAGCCGCTTGAAGGGGTGGGCTTCAGCAGTAGGCTGGTACACAGTGCCGACGCTACGCTACCGAGCAACCACCAACAGTCGCACGTGGGATAAGGATACTGTGAGGGTCGCCCGGTTTTTATGCAGGCGCAAACCCGCACCCTCGGATTACAAGGTAGGCTTGTGATTCTTAAGGCTACGGGACAGTACGTGTTAGTTACCAATTTTCGATCCCATTACGGAATGCTGAAGACAAACCTGGAATATCGTGATGAGCCTGAACTTTAGTGTGGTGCGATGGGTAGTGTGCCTCGGTGATCCATTGGGCCGTGTTGGGTAGTACTTTGCGCTTTCAAAGTCATTCCAACAAGAGCAGTCAATGATTAGGGGCCAGGCTAACTCAGTGATCTGGTCATCGAGGTCTGGAGTTGAAGTAACGGTGACTGTTTAATTCTTGAAACGGATCCACTGAAGTCCATTGCCAAACTCCTGCGGGCTTGCGGCATTGGTTGAGAACCCCAAGCATTTTCCTGTCTGGGCCTGGGAAACCTGACAGTATCATGCCCAAACAATACAATGAGAAACCATTCAAATAATTTGCTGGTGCACTAGCCATAACACAGGGTAATTACCGGCGCCCTATTTTCTGTACCCAGTGATGTAATTAGGAGTAAGGAGTAACTGCTAAGGTCTTCACGTCCTCCTATCTCCTCTCTTGCACCTCATCTTCAGCGTCACGTTTCAGTTGCACATTTATTCCCCTCGTTTTAACCCTCTCAATTCTTAACCCCTAGCTCGTTCTGATAGAAGATTGTTTTCCGGGTGCGGTTCATATGCAATCGCGGAGTGATTTTTGCCCTATCGGCAAGCCCATGTCCAACCAAGCGATCCATTTCACTGCATTCGATTGGATTTGGAGCCCTCGATCCTCATTAAGTCTAGCATACCAAAACGTACGTACTTCGCTGCAAAACGTCCAACAGGCGGCATTTGTCTGAACACACCTCACCGATCAGTATGTGCCACTTATCCGAAACTCGCCTACAATTCTGGAGCACTGCGCTGACCCTACGAGCTTCATCTTGGGACACTGCGTACACTTTTTCACTACATCTATCTATAGACAATGCAGCTCCAAATACCGACCAAGTCTGTGCGGATACTGCCACGAGCTGAAGTAGCTCTAGTCGACTGGAGCTAAATCAGCAGCCGGATGTGCGCGTCCAACTGGCTGCATCATTCAAAGTTTGGAAGTCGCGCGAAGACAAAACGTGCCTAGTTGTCATTGCTGCCTATGCCATAAACTGTAACGATGACTCGGTGAATGATGACTTCAGTCAATCAACAGCACTACATCAGCCATTTGAACCAATGCTTCGCTGTCATACAACCATGATGGCCTATGATGTAAAGAATAATAAAAGGGAGAGAAGGAGAACTTACCTGAAAATCTTAATGCCCAAGGCAAACATCCTGGGTCAAGACGCCTACACCCTGTGTAGACAACAAACCATCACAAACAGCTGGCCATCGTGCAAAGATAAGGCGGCATCGGTGAGACAGATTTCTTGCGGCTTTCACTGCCACGCGTCATAATCAGAAATTACCCCGCAGATAACTCAGCACTAAACACACTTTAAACAGACAATCCGATTAGGAGACAACAGATGCGCCACTGGTGTCGGTTGCGAACCATGTCCTGTAAACTCTCGAGCCAAGCACAAGGCGAGTCACGTGGACTCCAGCCCGGAAAGCGTGCCGGATCAACGGCACCAAGTTTGGTCGTCAGTGACTTTATTTCCCGCTGCCAAGTCAACTTCTGTCCACCTCGAGTCTTGCGCCACCCTACACCTGGCAGACTAAAAAAGGTCCTGCTGGGTAAGCGGTGACCAGGCATACGTAGCATGTGATCGAGCCAACGCAACTTATTCAGTGCTATCTGTTGTTCCAGGGAGCTAGCATGATTATCACTACCTAGTACTCGCCTACGCACATCATCGTTGCGGACACGCTGATGCCATTTGACACCAGCAATCCTTCGCAGACAACGATTATCAAAGACTTGAAGGCGCCTCAGATCTTTAGACCGAAATGGCCAAGTCTCATTACCATAGAGCAGAACGGCCCTCACTGTGGCCTTGTATACACGGTTTTTCAGACGGAGGAATACTCCTTTCTGTCGCCAAAGATGCCGCAGGTTCAAGTAGGCAGCTCTGGCTTTTGCAATGCGTGAAATGACTTCAGTTTCTATGCGCCCATCTTTTCTGACGCAACTGCCGAAATAAGTGAATTGATCAACCACCTCGAGTTCCTCGTTAGCAAGGGTCAAGGGGTCATCAAGTGACTGGTGGTCCTGCAGCAACACTTTGCACTTTGAAGGTGCGAAGCGCATACCAAATAATGGGACCACTCTGGATAGGCTATTCAGGGTTGATTGCGCCGCCGAAACATCGTTAAAAAGCAAGACGATATCGTCCGCATAATCAAGATCAAGTAGCCTTTCACCAGGCAGGACCTCAACGCCTACATCATGAGATTCCGCAAGGGAACACTCCATGATAGAATCCACAACGAAATTGAACAAAAATGGGGAAATCGGACAACCCTGACGAACGCCACTTGTGGTCGGAAAGTTATCCAATAGGCCACCGTAGACCCTGACGCGGCCTGTAGTGTTCGAGTGTAGAGCACGTATGATGTTCACACATTTCGCGGGAACACATTTCCGCGCAAGTATTTCGAACAGAATGCATCGATCGATAAATCTAACGCATTCTTGAAATCAAAGAACACAGTTATTGTCAGTCTGTAGTATGGGTTGCGCTGCTCTAGCACCTGCCGCAAGGTGAATATATGGTCCTGGGCGGAAACCGGCCTGCTCTTCCCTAATCCGAGATTCCCGTTCCACAGTCAGGCGACGAACGAGGATGGACGTCAGTAATGTTGTCACAACTGGCATTAGGCTAATACCCCTGTGGTTAGAACAGTCAGTGCGACTGCCCTTCTTGTATATTGCTACTATAATCGATTCGCTCCAATTAGCTGGGACATTTCTAGATATGTTCGAATAGGAAGGTCAGTGCTTTGCAGAGAATCTCACCCCCATCCTTATATAGTGCAAATACCAGGGAACCCGGGGCAGCAGCACGAAAACAATTAAGGGCTGTGATCGCGTTTCGGACCTCGGCCTCAGACAGAGGCTCTCAACTAACCGTCCATGACACGTCCTGTACCACCTGAGTAGGAAGAGGTCCGAGAGCAGGAGGCCAGCTGAACTGATCTTGAAAGTGTTCCGCCCAAGGAGCCAAACGGCGTTCCTTATTGTGTATCAGTGCACCCGCGCTGTCGCTGATTGTCTCACTGACGCCCAGTTTCCAGGACCAGTGGTGCGGATCGGCTGGAAGAGCTTGCGGTAATTATCGAAAGATAAGCAAAACACGAAGCTTTGAGCAAACAATTGTTTTCGATTACTT